CTTACTGGTGTGCATGTGGGTGCATGTTTCGAGAAAATATATAAAAAATAGAAACCAGAGTGATTGAATGAAAATAATGTTCATATTTTAAAATATGTTTAATAACCGATTTTATTGGAATATTTTATTTGTATGTTTTTATACACTGTTTGGAGCACACTGGCCTTTTTAGCTCATTCTATAGTTTTTAACTTTTTCAGATAACAGCAGACCATAAGCTAGCAGATTTGGCATCAGGGGAGATCAACTACTTATTTTGTACGAACGTATATCTCTATATGTTTTTCATTTTATGTTTGGTGACATGTATTTGCTATCGTTTTGAATATATTTGTATTATTTATATTTTGTTATGTATTATATCTAATGTATTAAAAGTTGTTTTAAAAAAAAAACTCTGAATGGGATATGTGACCACTTAGATTTGGGTCTAACTTATAGACTGGGTCTGGAGGGTTACAAAACCTTTCCGACCCTCTTTGCAAATCGTTCTGGTTGTCGATCCGAGCTTTCGAAAATCCTAATAACCTGGATGGTTCTCTTCAAAGGCATAAAGCCTGGTTGGTCGCAAAAGGTTACTCGCAGGTTCCTGCCTATGATTTTAAAGATACCTTCAGTCCAGTTGCAAAGTTTGCCACGCTGAATGTTATCCTTTCGCTTGTTGTTACTAAGAACTGGCCTCTGCATCAAGTAGATGTGAACAACGCTTTCTTGAATGGAGATTTGTCTGTAGATATATTCATGCAACATCCTCCAAGGTTTGAAGAATGTGATGCTAATAGCTCTTGTCTTGTGTGTAAGCTTCACAAAGCCTTATATGGTTTTCGCCAAGCGCCGAGGAATTGGCATGATAGGCTTAAGGCCATTCTTGAGCAAATTGGGTCTGTTGAATCACGAGCAGATGTGTCGCTCTTTGTGAAGCGTATGGATAGTTGATATACGTTTGTTTTGGTTTATGTTGATGACATAATAGTTATTAGTGAGTATAGGGATGATATTGAAAGGGTGATCCAACTCTTGAAAGGTGATTTCTCACTCAAGGATTTGGGTGAACTGAATTTTTTAATTGGCATTCAAGTTAAAATGAGTAACAGCAAGCTTGCTCTCTCTCAAATGAAGTATATCCTTGAGTTGCTGGAATGGAAAAATATGACAAATGTCAATCCAGCTGTCACTCGTCAAAACCGAGTCAAGAAGCAGGGTCATTGTTGTCCTATGCTCGTGAGTATCGAAGTATTGTTGGTGCACTTTTATACGTCTGCCACACTAGACATGACGTTGCGTTCAGCGTGAATAAGGTCGCTCAATACATGCATGCACCTCGTGAGTCTCATTTGGAGACAGTCAAATAAATACTTTGATATTTGGTTGGTACCTTGGACTACGATATCAAGTTCTTGACTGATGAAGCAGGACTAAAGATTGTGGCCTTTGTTGATATTGACTGGGGTCGCAATGCTGATGATCATAGGTTGATTCTAGTAATACGATGTTCATCGAAAAGTGTCATGTGGTCTAGAGCTCAAGGAAGCAGAAGACTGTTTCAAGGTCGACCATGGAGGCAAAATATTGAAGTGTCGCAAATGCAGCGGCTGAAGTAACCTGGGTTAGTGCACTACTAGCTAATTTAGGTGTGAAGCAACATGAAGAGCCGACTATATGGTGTGACAATACCAGCGCCATTGTTATGAACGTAAATCCAGTTTACCATGCTCAGTCTAAACATTGGGATATGTATATTCATTTTATTAGAGAAAAGGTTGCTGCTAAAATGTTTCGCGCCAGTTATGTTCCGGTCGGTTATCAGATTGCACATATGTTCTCATAAAACCTTTTATCTAAAACCATGTTTAAAGTATTCAGGGACAAGGTATGTGTCTTACCTTGTTAACGCATGAGGAGGAGGAAGTAGAGAAAATATTGGAATAGTTAGTTGCACGTGATTAATAAGTTGTTAAGGTGTTAGAAGTGGTTAGCTGAGCAGTTAAGGTTAGCTATACGGTTAAACTAGATGTGCAAAACTTTTATAAAAGCATTGTATTTGTATTCAGAAAAAGTCAAGAAATATAATCATTAATTTCCTATTATTCTTTTATATTTTCTCTAATATTCCAAGAAATATCAATTTTCTTTTGTCATTTTTTATTTCAAAATACAAAAAAAAAATTATGTTTTTCATCTTTAGTTATCTATCCTCTTTGAATTATTCGTCTTCTTTAAGTTGATAACTTCAATAAAAATATAAAGTGTCTTATCTCAATTGAAGATAATTTTTTTAAAAAATATTTTTTAATTTAATAAATATTTATGATTTTATTTTATATATATATTACGTGGGTTCATGAATTTTAATCTTTAAAAAGATTTACACATACACACATGCATGTGCACGCATGCGCACGCACACACACTCATCCTATGTCTCCAGTTGTTGAGGTTGAAAATGTTAATCTTTTGTTTATAAAATGTGATACTGAGTTACGTAAGTCAATGTAAGAATATCTAGTTAATAAACGAGATTAAATTTGACTTGAGTGCATGTCTGTATCAAATATATTCCTCTAATTATCAATTTTCTAAAGAAAAACATGATAGCGTTATTAAATTTTTTGGTTTGCTAAAAAAAATTAAATACCCCTTAGAAAATAATGTTGAGTTTGTCATTGACTGTCATTGCACAAAATGGTTGGCAACCGTATTATGATGAATTGTTTATTGAACTTAAGGTTAGTGTTTTCTTTTGGGAACTTAGTGTAAAGTAGAGATGTATGTCGGTGTGTAACTGTATTCATGTAACAGAAAGAGACAATTATTCGTCACCAAAATGAAGAGTATGCTTTTTAGAAAGGCCGATCAAAGCAAAAAATGCTTAAGCTTAAAGAGCTGGTGGAAAAATCACATGAAGATCATATTAGGCGACTTATTAAGATGGTATTTGTTAATTTCTTGATGCATATTTTATCTGTTTTTACATCTCATTTTTATAAATTGTTGTTAATCTGTGATGTTTATTCATGAAACTCTAAGCATGAATTAATGAATAATGGTATTTCCATAAGTTGAGTTAAAAATGAAGAAGTCGGCCGCTAGACTCAAACAATAGTTGAAAGAGGAGTGAGTGGCATGTAAGAAGGTTGAAAAAAGCATTAAATGAGGAAATTCGCAAGCTTAGGGTGGATCTAGAAAGAAGTACTAAGGGAGAATGAAGAGTACCGCGGGAAAAAAAGCCGAAAGCAAGTGTATCATTCTCTGATTTTGGAAAAAAAAGCCGAAAGCAAGTGTATCATTCTCTGATTTTACTATTGACGTAACTGCAAAAATTGCCACTTAAATTTCTAGAGTTATTAGTAATGTTGTGTACCCAAAATTATTGACATGAATGAAATAGAGCTGAGAATGGAGTTTCAAAACAAATGGAAAAATATTTTAATGATCATAAAATAATAAATTTAATAAAATATAAATATATAAAATTATTAAATATGATCATATCATATATCATATATATAATATAACAAGGTGAAGTAAGAATTTAAATTTTTTAAAAATTGGCACTTCAATTAAAATTTTAAAAATATATTTTAAAAAATCTAAAATTAAATTTTTAATGCATTTTAAAATTTTCATGAGATTATTTCCTATATTTTTAAAAAATATAGTTTTAAATATATTAATATTTAAATTTAAATTACGATAGTATTAAATTTGAAATAATTTATTCTCAAAGTATATACAATTATTGTATATTAAATTTATTATGTAAGTCTAATTATGGACTGATCAATTTTAGTATAAGTCTAATTATAGACTAATCAAATTTTAGGAATATAAGTTACAATTATCAAATTTTGTGGATTGGATTAGGCGTAAGAATACATATTACAAATTTTAGTTTCTTATATAAATTAATTTAAAACAGATATTAGAAATAAACATTTGATGTTTTATGTTTTATTTAGTGAAGATCCCTAGTTTCTTCTTAGATATCCCAAGGACCATAGGTGTTTTGTACACAAACACTTTGTTGATACCGGTATCCCTTGGTGAATTCATTCGACAAGCAAGACGCCAAGTGCAACAACTCCCGCTAACTGCAACTGAAACGACGTATTCGACAAGCGGGACAACACGAAACCGGCCCATTCGACAAGCGGGACGCCAAGTGCAACAACACCAACAGCGACCACCCAATTGATTTCGAATTTCTTCTAATACCTAAGAGTCTTTCTTCCTTTCTTCTAAACCTCCATGTTGAGGAATTTCTTGTGGATTAAGATGCACCATGTATTGTCGATGAATATTCGATTCCTATTAATACCTAAGATTTGAAGACTTTTAATACCTAAGATTCTTGGTTTGATTTGAAGAGAATAGAGAGAAACAGATTTGATTCGAAGAGAATAGAGAAACCAGTTATTCTTTCTTTGTAATTGTTATGATTCTTTTTTTTGATTTGAAGAGAACAGAGAGAAACTGTTTATTCAATTCCTTCTAATACCTAAGATTCTTTGTTTGATTTGAAGAGAATAGGGAGAAACCGTTTATTGTTATGATTGTTGGTATTCGTTCTGCATCATCCGATTTCATGATTGTTTTATATTAAATTTATATAAAATTTGGTATATATTAATTGTTATATATTAAATTTATTATATTTATAAAAAAAAATTGGTATATCTTAGTTGTATATTAAATTTATTATATAAGTCTAATTATGGACTGATCACATTTTAGGAATATATGGTACGAACTTACAATTATCAGATTTTATGGATTGGACTAGGTGTAAGAATTACAGATTACAAATTTTAGTATGTTGTATAAATTAGTTTAAATCACATATGGAAGTAAACATGTAATCTTAGTTTAAATGAGATATCAGAAGTAACATTTGATCTTTTATTTAGTGAAGGTCCATGGTTTCTTCATAGAGATCCCAAGAACCATAAGTGTTTTCTACACAAACACATTCCACTCTTGCTCTTAGTATTAAGCCTGCATTCACTAAACCAGAGAGCTGCGTTTAAAGCTATACGGCAGCCATATCAAGCATTCACGACGGTGCCGCCGTTGGGATGAAGGACTTGACCGGTTATGTAGGAGGAGCAGACATTACAGGCAAGAAACACATAGCACGGTGCTACTTCAATAGGATGACCAGCTCTCTTCATCGGCACTTCACTTCCAAACTGGGTTGTCTTCTCTTCGTTAAACGATGCCGGTATCAGTGGAGTCCATATCGGCCCCGGTGCGACACCATTCACACGGATGCCTCTGTTCACTAGCTGAAGTGCAAGGCCCCTAATGAATGCCACAATGGCTCCCTTGGTTGCTGTGTAATCAAGTAGCGAAGCATTCCCTTTGTATGCATTCACCGATGTCGTGTTTATTATCGAGCTGCCTTCCTTCATGTGCTTCAAAGCATGCCTGCAAAAAGTATCACATCGGACAATAATCGATTTCGCGGTATTCGATCAAAGCATCCATTGTACTCGATTAATTTTAGTTACCTGGTCATGAAGAAATAAGAAAAGATGTTGGTCCTAAACACCCTTAAAAGCCTTTCCTCATCAATCTCCTCCACACTGCTTGTCTCGTACTGCTCCGCAGCGTTGTTAATCAGGATATCAATCTGACCGTACGCTTTCGCGACGTCATTGACGACCTTTTTGCAGTTCTCGTCGAACCCCAAATCAGTCGGTACAGCCATAGGATCCTTTGCGTCTGCCGTCTTTTCCTTTTTCAGCATCTCGAGAGTGTCCTTTGCGTCCTTGTCCTCCTGGCCCTTCACATACGTGAAGGCCACGGTTGCACCCTCTTTGGCAAATAGGATACAAACCGACCGGCCGATACCGGAATCGCCACCGGTAACTAACGCCACCTTTCCCTACAAAAAAAGAAGAAAAAATTATTCACACAAAACATACATTTGGGAAAATTATTTCGTACAGGAAATGTTATAAAATGATCATTACTTGAAGCTTGTTCGAAGGCTTGTAATCGGGGCTGCTGAAATGAGGGACAGGGTTCATAACATGTTCTTTTCCTGGTTGTGAATCTTGTTTCTGAGGAGGCTGCTGCTGCTTACCATCAGAAGACATTTCGGTCCCGAACAATCTAACGATTTTCTTAGGAAAATTATTTCGACGAACTATGAACTGGGATTTGTTTGGATACCAAGAAAATACTGGAGAATTAACTAGTGAAGGAGAAAACATATATAGAATGGTGGGATTTTGATCCTCATGCAACTTATGTGTGAGCTGATGCAATCATACAAACGCTAATATAAAACGGTGGGGTTTCAGGTGGACACGTGTAACCAAGTGGCAGAGGGAAATGTCGACGTGCCATGTCAGCCTGCATGCAGTGGACACGTCAGTGGAAACGGACTTTTTTTTTTTGGTTGAGTGGAACCCAATTGTGAATTGAACTTTGCATCATATAAAAAAAAATGAAAAGCCTGCGAAGTGGCATCATTAGAGTAGGAATATAAATTACACTTACTATTATGTTTTTGTTGTATTATATTTATTATAATTACGAATATGATGAATATATTATAATTATTATAAATATTGCAGTTACGTAATAATAATTTCGAATGATACTATTATTTTAATAATATATTATTATTTAAATTTTTATAAGTAGACGAATAGATTAATTTGATTGAATTAGATTAAAATTTTTAATGTATTCAAATTGATTATAGGTTTCAAAAGCTTGAATTGAATAATTTAATTAAAATTAGTAAATTTTTTAATCAAAAAAATATTTGTATATAATTTAATATAAATTTAAATATTTAGATATAAAATAATTAATCCAAATAATTTAATTAATTAAACATGGATATTTAATTTTACTCTTATAATTTTTTTGTTTTATAAATAAATCCTAAAAAAAGTAAAAACATAAAAATTCTCAGTTCGATATTTAGTTATCTCCATTTGGATAATTCAATTTTACAGTAAATAAGTTCGATTTATTTAATTTTATTATTTAATTAATGAGTTAAGTACACCAATGATCTCTTTATAGAGTGTTGTTTTGTTGAGCCCCTATTTATTAAAAGTTAAAAATAATCCTCCGACTATAGGACGTTATTTTGTTGAATCTCCCATCTATTAAAGTTATAAAATGGTCACATGACTATTCATATATTCCAAACTCGTCCTTTTATGTTAAAAATATTAACAACAACTTGAGTTGGATGTTATCATGCTGATAGGATATGATAAAATTTGATCTCAGAATCTCAAATGGCTATCGTATCTCAGTCAACAAGTTAACGTCCAGCTCAGACACTGTTATTTTTTAACAAAAAGGGACGATTTTGGAACATATGGATAGTCAGATTGTCATTTTGTAACTTTTAATAATTGAGACACTCAACAAAGTAACTCCCAATAATTGAAGGACCATTTTATAACTTTTAATTGTTAAAAAACTCAACAAAATAATACATTATAATTGAGGATCATTTATATACTTTACCATTGATTAGTTTACTCATTTATATACTTTACCATTGATTAATTTACTCAATTACTCGAGTGTGTACACACCTGTTACACACTTATTCTAACAGCTCTATTTATAGATGTATGATTTAACAAATTTATTTCATGAATATTTTTAGTATACAGTTAACAAGATCATAAAGAAAATATTAAATCACGTGACACACTGAAACACGTTATTAGTATGATATATTGGTGTACACCATGGATTAAATAATCCTTATTAAATAAATATGAAAAAATATAATATATCCACAATTAATTTTTTACTATCATCTAGTTTAAATTTTAATATGAATATAATTAAAAGTAAACTATACCACTAACCACTCAACTATAGCTCCTTTTCACTTTGACCACTATTTTTGAATTCTTGTCAAACAGACCACTAAATTATTTAAATGCATTCAATCAGGTCGCTGATTGTTAATAATTAATGGAAGATAAGGTCATAGGATTCAAACCAATGTCCCTTGGGTGACAAAGGAGAGCATCAACCACAGAGACAATCACATTTTATGGTTCATAATAGAGTACATATGATATATATCTTGTTTCTTATTATGATCTTAAATTCTTAATATTAAATATATCTTAACTTAAAATCACATCTTAACATTAAAAATATATTTTTATTTTTTAACTTATTGAATTTCTTTTATTCTTATCTTAATTAAAAAATTATATTTTAATCTTATCTTAACTTATAAAATATATTTTATTCCTACCTTAACTTAAAAATATATTTTATTTTTATCTTAACTTGTTACATATATTATATTCTTAACTTAAATTATTAAATATATTATATTCTTACCTTAAATTATTAAATATATTAAATTGTTATCTTAACTTGAAAATATATATCTTATTTTAATTTTAAAAAATATATTAATATATTTTATTCTTATTTTAATTTAGAAATATATTTTTTTTATCTTAATTATGAAAAAATATATTTTTTATTTTAATTTTAAAATATTATAAAAATAAAATTTAAATATTTAAGTTAAGGTAAAAAATATTTTTTATAACATTAAAAATATATTTTATTTTTTTTAACTTATTGAATTTATTTTATTCTTATCTTAACTGGAAAATATATTTTAATCTTATCTTAACTTATAAAATATATTTTATTCCTACCTTAACTTAAAAATATATTTTAATTTTAAAATATTATAAGAATAAAATTTAAATATTTAAGTTAAGGTAAAAAATATTTTTTAAGTTTAGAAAAGACTAATATATATATTTTACTTTAGTTAAGATAAAAATAAAATATATATTCAATTCTATTAAGATGTGACCAAGTTAAGAATATGTAAGTAACAATGACTAAATGTGTAATTATATCAATTTTATTAACTACCGCATTAGCACTCCCGTTAACTGTTAACGGCCAATGGCCTGATTGAATTCATTTAAATAATTGAGTGACCTGATTGACAAGTATTCAAAAATGATGGTCAAAGTGAAAAGGGGCTATAGTTGGGGTCACTGGTATAATTTACCCTATAATTAAATTATATTTTTTTATTAAAGATATAATTATTTGGAATTTTTTATCTTTTAGGATTAAAACATTTAATTTATATAGATTTGTATATTCGTCCAAACAACAATTCATTATCGAAAAATCGTGTAATGAGTCACTAAAATTTTAAGGAATAAATTTTTACATTAACATGATAGAGAATGCGAGAGTGATTGAAAATAATTTTCTACTCTACAATGTTAAAGAGTGTGGGTGTTTGAAAAATAAAAGGATCGTTAATTTTATGTAGTATGTTCTGAATTATACAAGTTTAGAATTTGTATATAATTTGTATATATGAGAATGATTCTTTCAGAAGCTGCATGAAATTAAGAAAATCATAATCCTCTCGATTTGGTACGTCTAAAACTTTGATGATTTATATGAAATTCTAGAATTATAGGTTACTAAAATTGATAAAAGACATTATTTAAATAGAATTTTTTTAATAAAAAGAATTAGTATTTAGATGATTCATGAAGTAACTCTATCTCAATATAAAATTTGACAAGCACTAAACACAACAACAACAAGCACTAAACAACAACAACAACAACAAGCACTAAAGAGTACTCGAAATGTTTCAATAATTTCAGCGCCATGGTCAGCAAAAGGACCTCAAGTGACCCAATTTATTTATCTTTCGATACTAAAAATAGAATCGTTCTAAAAAGAAGACAATATATCAACAATACAATACAAACAATCAAGAAATTGCACTTGTTTGATTTCCTTGGGGAAGCCAACAACACTTTGGATATCTTCAATCTCTCTTTTTCATCACCGTATCCGTATGTAAATATTGTAAAATTCTCAAGAGCTCCACCATTCTTTATGATATACTTTGCCTTTCGTATACATTCTTCGTTATTTTCGAAGAACGAAATTTCAATAGCCTTCAGTTTAAACAACAAACAAGAAGGCACTTCTTCGGGCAGAGATCTGAGAGCTTCCTGAAATCAGAACATAAATTGGAGTCAGTAATAGTCTTCAGCTTAAATGAAAGCCTAAGCTTACAATAATAATACCCGAGGAAAGGAAAGTTTTTCTAGTTCAGGCGACCTTGACAATAAAGTTTCAAGTCCTCCATCCTTCAACCAACGATGATAACCAGAACATATCTTCAATTTAATCATGGTAGAAAAAACAGGAAGTGACTCACAACGTAAGAGAAGCTGTTATAATGAAAAAGATTGCATTGTCAGTAGATTGTTAAGTACAAAATTTTCTAGACATTTTGATAGCGGAAATTAGATTAAGGGTTTGTCAAGAAACAAACCTGCAGAGAATAAAGTGATAGAGTAAGTGAACCAACTATACAGAACACTTTAGAAAAATCTGTTATATCGACTAGAAGATCGTCGTCATCTTTGATTTGAAATTGAATGTCTGCACAGACAATAGATGTCAGATTCTCCAGTGAATACCCTGCTATGATGCAGTTATTGTATCTGAAGTAGGCCAGATTAGGAGTATCAATCATTAACCAATACTTGGAACTATTACACAAGTCAAGTATAGTCAATTTTTTGAGAAAATGATGCGAAATATTGAAGCTACTTATGTTCTTCATGTTGCATCTACTTATAACCACATCTTCAAGACTACTGCAGCTGGAGAAAAGATTTATAACTGAATTATCATTAAAAAATTCAACAGAATTGAGTTGAAGAGTCTCTAGATTCGGAAAATGAACACCCTTTGGAACATCCAAAACAAAACCAATATCCAGTTTCAAAGTTACCAATGTCCTGCAAGTAAACAAAGCACCAGGCAAAGTGAATTTATCAAGAGTGATGTTTAAATCAAGATGTTTATAGCCTCGCCAAAGTGCGACTGATATCCACCCATAAATACGGTCAGAATCAACCCTTTTGCCGCATTTCAGACGAAACTTATCGACATTTGCCCTATGGAAAAACAACACTCTGTCGACAAAGCACATAAAGTTCTTAACGGTGGAACTTTTATGCCTCTTGCTCCAGTCCATATGCTGCTCTTCAAATTCAAAGTTGAGAGCAGAAACTAAAGTAAAAAGATCTCTCCATCTGGTAGATAAAACGGAGGTTTGAACTGCTGTTACTGTAGAAAGGAATGAAAGAATGTGACCTAAAATTGAATCAGGTAAACCACTAATCCTGTCTACACCCTTCATTCCTACTTTCTTTGCCGTTCCAAAAATAATCCCAGATACTTGATGTAAGTTTTTTACTGTAATAGAAAATGTTGTTACGATTCATCTTGTAGAGGTACAATTTTATAGTAAAAAGAAAGGAGATGAAATCCAAGAATCAAGTCAAGCTATGATTATTAGTAATAATGGCCGGTTGAAGTGCATGAATTGAGAGGTTGTTTCATTGGATTTTCAGTCATTGCATAAATGCAAGCTCTGCGTCCAAAGTTTCATAGAGAATTTGGAAAGGTTTCAGATTTAACTTTTGGAATACATTTATTACATATCTAGTACTTACAATTTCCAAGATGATATTCCTCTTAAACTCTGTGCCGTTAGATCTCTTTCAAGCATAGAGCCATGGACCTTTCAGACTACAATTTATCCAGTGAAATTCCTACATAATTACTGATCTTTTTGGGTTGATAAACCGTTTGTTGGGGAACGATTCCTGAGACCATGAGTGGCATTGCAACTTGTGTTCCTGAGGCCATGATTTATTCCGGTCAATAAAGTACACATATGGTCTATTGACTATAGGGTATTATTTTGTTGAGTCTCTCGACTACTAAAAGTTACAAAATAGTTCTCCGATGATAAGGTGATGCTTTGTTAAGTCTCTGACTATTGAAAGTTACAAAATGATCCCCGACTATTCGTATGTTTCAAACACATCCTTTTCCGTTAAAAAATTGGCGATCATCTAAGTTGGATGTTAACATGGTAACTGATATATAATAAAATCTAATCCCAGAATCTCAAATAACCATATAACTCAAATAGTTATGTGATCGGATTTTATCGTATCTCATTTAGTAGGTTAACGTCCAGCTTATACGACCATAAATTCTTTTAACGAAAAAAGACGAGTTTGGAACATAAGAATAGTCGGTGACCATTTTGTAACTTTTAATAATCAAATGATTCAAGAAAATAACAACTTATAGTCGAGGACCATTTATGTTTTTTAACCTTGATTTTATGTAACTATAGTACTGGATTTGTTGTTGCGTTTTGAAATATTGCAAGGTCTTCTCTGTTTAAGAGGAAGAAGAGGGCTCGTAGGTGTTTTCGTTAGTACCTCATGAATATAAAATGTCGATGATTTAATGTCATATCAGAGGTTGGTTGGAAAGTTAATATATTTGGAAATCATGAAGAGTAAGAATTAAGGACGTTTATCGAGTAAGTTAATCGTGAGTTGAGCATTGTTTAACTCGTGCTTATTAAAAACTTTTGTTGTTTGGTTGGACTCGTTGCTCATTAAAATTTTGTTCGACTTATGCTCATTAAAAAACTTGTTGCTCATTATTAAGCTTACCAAAGTTTTTATCTTGTTTTTTAATTATAGGTAAAATCTACTAATACTATATAGAGTTGAATATAAACATAAATTATAAATTTAACCCAAAAAAATAAAAAGAGTGTATGAAGCAATTTTAAACACTAAATTCCAAAATAATACTCCACAAATACATCAAACTAACATATTAAAGCCAAAATAACAATTCACAAATACATTAAACTAACATATTAAAAATATTCTTAAATGAAAAGTTCAACAATACATATTCAATTCTAATAATAAAAAACTCAACATCTCTTAACTCTATTCATTGTTCCTTGCAGTTACCAAACTATAATATTGGGAGAATAATTGTTTTTGCTTGATCAACATAGTTATCCTATAAACAAAAAAACATTTATAATATCTTATAATAAGCAACTATAATAAATATTATTACTTTGTTATTTAAGATTTGATTTTTGGGTGTAGTAAAATAATAATTATTAATTAATAATTTAATAATGTTTTGTTATTTATAGAAAATTAATATATTAGTAATTTATCAAGTTACTAGTAAACTTATCGAGTAAAATTGAACTTTGCTCGACTCAACTCATTAAAGTCTCAAGTCGAGTACGAGATAGAGTTGAGTCAATCCGAGTCGAGCTTTGATTAAGTCAAGTTTGAGTTGCTCACAAGCTACTCAACTCATTAAACACCTCAAATAAGAAGTATAATGTGGTAGCAAGGGTATTTTGTTTCACTGAAATTAAATTTTCGAAAAATGTTTTCATCATTTTTTTAGTTTTTTGTTGGTGGAAAACAGATGGTCTGGTTAACATAATTTCTTTTATTTTTTTTAGAAAATGACTTATAGTCTGATTTTGTGTAAGTCATTTTTTAAATTTTTCACTTCAAATAATAAATACGCAAAATAATATTATTTTATATATTTAATATTAATATACTTTTTAATATCACTTTAATAAAATATTAATTATTAAAATATATTTTTTAATAATTTTATATTTATATTTTTAAAAACATAATAATATATTCAATTATATTATAATAATATATAATATTATATTCATATTTTAATAATATATAATAAATTGTTAATATGATTTATTTTATTCATTAGGTTTATAAAATAATATTATTAAATATTTAAAATATATTTATTAATGATTTTTAAATATAATATTCTCATTTTAATATTATAATTTTTGATATTATAATAATGTTTCAAAATAATCATATTATTTTTTTCTAATAAATATTATTATTTATTGTATTTAATATTTATAAAAATTTATCAAGTGAAAAATGATTTACACAATATCATCCAAATGCAATAAAATAATTTTCAAAAAATTATTTCCTGAAAATGTAATTCAATTTACGAAAATCATTTTCTGAAATATGTTTTACGTGAAATAAACAGCCCCAAATATTAGATCAAAATTTAAAATAGACCGATATGTGAGTACATGAGTTACTCTGGATAAAAGTAATTCGATATGACTTAAAGATAAAGCATGAGTGACTCATAAGGCTTTACAATGATAACAAATCAGCTACCAATATTGTTCAGAATCATGTTCAAGATGATTGAACAAAGCATATGGAAGTTGATAGATATCTCGTTAAAGAAGAATTGGGCAATGTTCTAATTTGTATTCTATCCATCTTTACTAAGGGTCAATTGGTATATGTGCTAACAAGCAATGTTTTTTAAGAAATTATGTTCCAATTATTGTGATAAAAGAAAGTCCTACATAAAAGCAAGACAAATATAGCAACAAATCAATATTTCATCAAACAATCAAGATAAAGCATTGCTTAGATTTCCTTGGATAAGCAAACAACACTTGTGAAATCTTCAATTTATTAAAACGGCAACAGATTGATGTACGTATTGTCAACTTCTCTAGAGCTCTACCATTCTCTAGGATGTACTTTGCCTTTCGGATACAATCTTCGTCTTCTTTAAAGTTTGAAATTTCGATCGCCTTGACTTTAAACGACAAGCATGAAGGCACTTCTTCGGGCAGAGAGATGAGAACATCCTAAAACCGGAACACGAAAACGAAATCAGCAAGTAAGAGTCTGCAACTTAAATCGAAGTTTAAACGAAGAATAAAACCTGACGGAAGGCAAGATTTTCTAGTTCAGGACAATGTGACAGTAAAGTTTCAAGTCCTTTATCTGTTGAACTCATCAATTGCTCAGCCTTATCATAAGGTGTCTCCAGTTCAACCAAGGTAGGAAAAGCAGGAAACGGTTCACAGCTTAAAAGAAGCTAACACAAATATGTTAATATTACCATTAATCAGACTTTGATGGCAGAAAATTAGATTAAGGGTCTGTCAATAAACAAACCTCTAGAGAATAAAGTGACAGAACTAGTGAACGAACACGATAGATCTCTCTAAAAATTGTTGCTGCATGCCTTGCATCGGCTTGAAGATCTACGTTCTCAATTAGGAATTGAATATCGGCACTGACAATAGATTCCAGGTTCTTCAACGAATACCCTGCTACTAGATGGTCAATAATGTATTTGAAGTTGGATAGACATGGCGCGTCAATCGTTAACCAACAATTGGAAGTATAACAGGGGCGAATTATAGTCAAACTTCTGAGCAAAGGGTGTGAAATTCTGAAGCTCTTTACATTCATCATGCTGCAGTTCTCTATGACCACATCTTGAAGATTACTGCAGCTGGAGAAGAGACTTTTAACTGAATTATCATCGAAGAACTTAACCGACTTGAGATGAAGAGTCTCTAGGTTTGGAAAATGAATGTCTTCTGGAACATGCAAAACTAAAACAATATCCAGTTTCAAAGTTACCAATGAGCTGCAAGTAAAAAGAGCATCCGGAAAAGTGAACTTGTCAAGCGAGATGTTCAAATCAAGATGTTTGACACCACGCATAAGTGCCCCTGATATCCACCTACAAGCACTGTCGGAATCAACGCATTTCCCGCGTTTCAGGCGGAATTTGAGGCGGAATTTATCCACATTTGTCCTACCGTGAAAAGACAGCACTCTATCGACAAAGCACCTAAAGCTCTTAATGGTGGAGCTGTTAAACTTACGAAGACGCAGCCTATTTTCCCACCTGGATATACATCCATCCAATTCAAAGTTGAGATTAGAAACTAAAGTAAAAAGATTTCTCCACCTGGTAGATAAAATGGAGGTTCGAGCAGCAATTATTGTAGAAAGGAATGACAGAATGTGAATTAAAATTGGATCAGGTAAATCACTGATCCGGTCTACACCCTTCATCTTAACTTTCTTAGCCATTAACAAGACTGAAAACGGTGAAGCTGTACAGGTAAGAATCTCAGAAATTTGAGAAGTTGCTAATGATATAAGGTTTCCTCCGCCTATTTATGCCTGTAGAAGTTGATGAGTTGGATAAACTGAGTGGCTGTTTCATTGGGTTTTCTGCCATTACATAAATGCCAGCTCTGGAACTCAAGCGTTCTAATAAAGAATAAATGTTGCGAGATTTAAGGCTAAGATGAATAAATGTTCCGAGGTCGGTACATTAGATCTTTGGCTTAATATCCAAATAAGGGCCTAAACTATACCCTTTTTGCCTAATAGGTGCCTACAGTATTTTTAACCCATCCAGGTACCTAACGTTACAAAAGTTATCACTTTATGTGCCCGGGCCGTCAACAGCGTTAATTTCATCCGTCAAGTGACACGTGTCACAATCGAATAAAATTATATATTTTTAAACAGAAAACACATAAATTTTGAAATAACAACAAAACTTTGAAAACCTTAATTTCAACCCCTAAACCCACGCTGATTGTTGCCTTTTGCCGTCAACGAAGCTCCACCCGATCTCACCTCCCCCAGCAACCAAAACTCCTATGAAATTGTGATCGATCGACGGCGAACCGACATTTTATATCCCGCGAATCATATGATGAAAATTGCGATCCCATGTGATTTCGATGGCCAATCATTGACAACTACGACAACGTATAACTAGAATTATGGTAGGGACTATGTCGGCGACGGCGGTTGTGGCTGGAAAGGAAGATGGTAGGTTAGTGTTAGGATTTGGGGATTTTAGGGATTTTGAGGTTTTTTTATAATTTAAAAGAAATTAATGTTTTTTTATAAATATAATAATATTTTTATTTTTTTTTTAAAATAAATTTCAAAATTACCAGATTTTGACATGTGTCACTTAACGGAGAAAACTAACGGGTGCCCAGACACCTAAAGTGGTCACGTTCGTAACGTTAGGCATCTGAATTGTCAAAAAAAAAACTATAGACATCTACTCGAAAAAAAATATATATAGTTTGGGAACTTATTTAGCTATTAAACCTATATCTTTCAAACCATTCATTTTCAGGATCTATATCACCCTTGTAAGTGGCAGATGTAAGAGTTATTCAGAGTAGGTATATGTTCACTCTAAAATCTTAAAATTTTTATGTTGTTCATTTTATTGATGTTGTTTTCTTTAAATTTTTAATTGTATTATTCTTATACGAAAAAAAATATTATTAACATATATGTGTTCATATGCAAAAGTATTTTTTAATCCATTACTGACTGTTGTTATGTATATGAACAAATGATACATCTTTAGTGATGGTTATGTATTATATATAATTAAATTGTTTGTATCTATATATTACATGTATATATTATATATAAGGGTAAACTACACATTTAATATCATAACTATCACTTTTATTTCGTTTTAATTACTCAAGGTTTTTTTTAAATCCTACCTAATGTTATGTTTTAGTTTCATTTTAGTCACCCAACATTAAAAAATTAATAGAATTATTGACGTGATATTTTTATATTTCAATGATGATGTGACATTATCTTATGATGACCGTCGGAATTACCTTTAATTTTTTAACAACAAGTGACCAAAATGAAACCAAAACTAAATGTTAGGTATGATTTTAAAAAAAAGAATAGTTGAGTGACTCAGACAAAATAGAAGTAATAGTTGAGATCTTAGATGTATAGTTTACCCTATATATAATATATATATTTATTTTAATAATTTATATTTTTATCACGGTGTCATGATGAAGATCAGTTTTGCCTTCTCAGCACTGACCACCAACAACACAGCTAGGAGGAAACCATGAGCAGTTGCATAGTTGAAATGAAGCAAACCAGCAACATTCAGAGTTTCAACATAAACTTGTTGGTGGAGAAGAAGATCAATAGTAAGGGGTAAATTGATAATTTGTCCCTAAACTACATTGGATTTATAAAAGGACCCATGTTAGTATTTTATTTAAATTGAACATGAGGTTTTCACCTCATACCGCTCCTCAAATTCATGGATTAAAATAAAAATTAAACTTTTTTTTTAACTAACGTGTTATTTCATCAAACTCACGACATTCAACATCTCAATAACCAAAGCTTAATAAATGATAATTTAAGTGACCAAAACTTAACCTTTTTCAATTTGGTAAGTAAAAGTGTACAAATATTAAAGGTAAAAGACCATTCATGTAGTTTACCCCATCTATTAATATTGATATTTATCCGACTATAAAAGAAACTTATATAGTAGAAATCTACTGAAAGTACATTTTCTACGTAAAAGAAATAGGAAACATTCATATGTTTTTTTTTCTAACTATCTTTTAATTAATTTGTATCATATTAATTTCGAGTTGAACTTTAATAGATTTTTATTAATTTGAAAATCACTTTGTTTATCATCGGACAATGACGTCGAATATGAAAATAACATACTATTATTAATTTGAAAGCTTATGATTTTTCAATGAAAATAAAGAATTGATTTTATCATATTAAATCAATATTTTTAACAATAATGATTATATTAATAACAAATTAAAAGTATGATGACTGTATTATAAATTTTAAAAGTTTTAATGATAAAACAAAAATATACTAAAACTTCAAAAACCAGATTTTAATTAAAAATATTTAAATTTTAAAGATTAATTTAAAATCTTAGCACATATAATTTGAGGAAATGGCCACTGGTCAAGCATTATAATGGTTCATAGTGCGCACAACCTAAACCTGCGCACCCCTGAAAATGGTTCGAAATAAAACAGCAGAGATTTTCAGATGAGGCAATAGATCGCGCGAAAAAAGGAAAGGAAACTGCCTTTGAAACTATGGCCAAAAACGACGATGATGTTCGATTCGCCGATTTCATGTTCTTCTCATCGTCACATTCGATCAACGGTCCTGGTTTCTCCTCCAAAAACACCACCACGACGGCTGCCACCTCCGCCAACGACGACGAAGATGATTGGGGAGACTTCATCAACTCCGGAAGTAATATCTCCCGTACTGAATCTCTTCCCGTCAATTATCTTCGTTTCGATCCAAATCCCCCCTTCCATCTGAACCTGGCTCAGCTCCGAGCCGAGTCGAGTCGGTGAAAACACAATGGGATAAGCTGACTGGAGCTTTACCGTTATCGATTTTCGGTGAAGAAGAAAAAGAAGATGAGGGGTCTGATTTTGGGCTTAACGGTGTGAATAGTTCGTTTTCGTTTTCGTTTCCTAAAAAGGATGGGAATTTGAAAGGAAAAGGATCGGATTTAAATGATATGATAAGGTATTTGTATAAACAGAATGAGAAGGGGTATTAGACAAATGGGCTTCAGCCGGGTGTGGATGTTAAGCAGGTAATTGATTTGAACCCGAAGGTGGAGACTTGGAATTGGAACGGGTTGAATTCGGGGTTAAACGGATTGGATCTTAAGTTGGATACATTGCATTTGGGTGGAAATGGTGATGCTTCGGTTAAAAAAGAGAAGAATTTTAGTTCAAATGGCTATGCATTAAGGATGGAAAGTAAAGCAGTGAATTTGGGGTCAAGTGGGTTGAATTTGGATTCAAATGGATCGGGTTTGGGTCAGACGGATTATGTTTTGGATGCAAATGTGAAGAATTCTGATTTGGTTGATGAGGAGGACGATGATGGTTGGGAATTCAAAGCTGCAGAACCAAAAGCAGAAACTGCAGTTGAAATTTTGAAGGTAGAATTTGTAGAATTTCTGTGATTTTGATTGTCAGTCATTTCCAATGTTAATGTTTTGTTAAACAGAAGTGAGAAAGGCATGGGGATTTTGATACTGAATCCTCTCATCGATAAATGACTGTTTTTGGAAGTAAGGTCTTTAACGAGGCTTTATTGATGCTGTTTAATCTTTGTAGTTTTATTAGAATAATTCAAAATGTGCCAGTCTCTAATTTCAATATGTCCCCTTTGAGTTGGGATCCGTTGGGTTCAAATGTCAGTGTGCCGAATTCAAATATACATGGGACAACCACGAATGCAAGTAGTTTGAACTCTAATGTAGTTGATGACAATGACGAGTTTAGTGATGATGATGGATGGGAATTCAAGGCTGCAGAGCCTGAGACACACTTTGGTAGTGGTGATACTAAGGTAAAATTTAATTCGTTTTCATTTTGGTAAACCATAAAATCCATGTCAACTGTATAGTTACAAATCGTTCTGTAAGTTCTTTTGCTTTAGTTAGTGGTGATAGTTTGTTGTTCTGGTGCTCTGTAGGGTAAGATGTATAAATTTACATAAAGGAAATTATGTTGTGCTCCTATTGACAAGTTGTTCAGGGACTCTATTTTGTTTACGACTGCTGACATTTATTACTTTGAAGGTTAAAGACCATGAACAGGAGAATCCTAAGGGAGCCGAATTCAGCTTTGGGTTTGGAAGTAGTGTGAATGGTTCTAGTGAGTTTTTTGGCACATCAGATGGAATGTGTAATAAACCTGGTGAATGGAACTTAGGATTTAGTTTCTCCACTAGTTTTGAATCTCAAAACAAGCAGAATGATATAAAAAATGTTGGGATTTCTTCTTCAGTTGGTAAAACTCTCGGTTCTGATGACTTGTCTTGGGCTTTTAAGGATGCAACTTCTGGAAATGGATTGCAGACTAAGGTGATGAATTGATTGATACTTTTTTTTCTCTCTTTATTAAAAATAATCTACCTTATCAATTTCAATTTTTTATACTTATATCCGTAGGAAGAGCCAAAGGTTGCCGATGCTTCCTCTTCCGGGGTAGAAGATATTTCATTTGGCAATCATATCCGGGTATTATTTCATTTTACTGCTCGAGACAGGGCTTTGTTGGATCCAATATGTTGTTCTAAACTTCTATAAATTGATCTCATGTTAAGCATTAAATTCCTGTTGCATGAGATATGCCTGTTCATCTAATAAATTGTATTTTGATTGTGATTGAGAGGAAAGTTACCCGTGGTACACATTGGAAAATTTTCTTCTTTGATTCACTGTTCCTTTGATGTGCTCAGGGGAACGAGGATACTTCAAAGAATCCCAAAGGAGCATTGCCCCTGTCCATCTTTGGTGATGCAGAAATTGAAACTGAGAATACATTGAGATATGAAGACGTTTCCATTAAACATAACACTTCTAGGACTGGAATTAAGGATACGCGTCCAAATGTATCTATCAATGATTTTATATCAAGTTTATATAGTCAAACTGAGATAAAGGCTTCTTTAAATCAGATAAGCAATTCAAGGGAAAATGGACTTCTTTCCTCTCAGATAGTCGTGGGTTCCGACTTGGCAAATGGTGATGATAATTTTGATGATGAATCATGGGAATTTAAAGATGCTGTTTCAGGAATCAGAGGAGAAAACCAAAATTCTTCACTTGGTTTTGGAGATACATATGAAAAATACTCTACTAAAACGGACCTAAATGATTATGTAGGCTTGTATTCTAAATTGACAGCTGAATTGTGCTTTGTTGCACTTAGGCATCTCGACAAGTTGAAGGTTGGTAGAGTCCTTTAATTTAATTTCTTTTCTTGACTTCTTTTTTTTATATTAATGTTTTTAAAGTATTTTGTTTCTGAAATATGTTTTTAATTAGAAAGATAAAAGTATTGATGCTCCTTCCGGTGAAGATTCTGAAGTAAAAGCTATTGAGAAGGAAATTCAGGTGTGCAGTTATTTCTGATTCCTTTCCGTTTTCTGTTATTTGATTATTTCTGTACTCCCTTTTATTTGGAAGGAATATGCCAAAAAGATTGGGAAAATGTCTATAAAAATCCCCCTTCTGTTTATACCTCTTGATTTGTGATCCTTTCTCACTTCAAACCAAAATCATTTCTCTTGATACTGCTTCTATTTGATTTAAACAAGCCAAATTTCCATGTAAATATTATCCTCGAATGATGGTATTGTTGTTCATGTTCATTGAATATTTAATGTCTGAATCTTGTCTGCTACCTTTGGCTGTAGGATCTATATAATGAACTGCACAAGAATGGCATAATATCTGAAGAAGTGGCATTGGAGAATCTCCAGTCAAGAAGTATTCACCTTGGTGAATATGCCAAGGTTCTACTGGAAAAACTGTTTTTACCACTGGAATCAGAATATCAGTTATCAGAGAAATTATCACTGGTTTGTGTCTTTTCCCTTGATTTGGGGTTATATGCTCTTGTTTTCAAGAAATTGATTTGATTCAAGGCTTGAGAGGCGTTAACAAAACATAAAAGTGTAGTTCTTTTCCATTACAACTCCTAGGAGTCCAGTACCCTCATTTTGTGGGACTATATCTGGGTATGGCCCTTTTTATTTATAAGGAGTTACAACAACTTATTGAACATGAAGTTGATTTACATATCATAACAGGCTGGTGTTAAGTTGGATCCTGGCTGATATCCACAAGTTCCCCTTTATGCACCTGTTTGTCATATATATTCTTGTTCTTGTACTTAAATTTATTATTTCTCAATATGAACGGGTATGTCTGAATTAACATCTCAGAATATGAAATACTGTTTAGAGGGTAAATATTCTGTTTCCCATATGATTGATGATTATTTTGCTTATTAATGGCTTTGACCTGGCTTGCATTTTCAATTCAATAGGCAGAGAAGGATATGGTATCAGCAGTTGAGCTGATGAGACATGCTGCATCAACATTAAAGATTCTAAAATTGGGGTCGTTTGAGGATCAAACTAATTATGTATCTACGTGGTCAAGGATTTTGTCTGTTTGTGAACTAGAGCTGAAACATGGTGCTATGATTTGGAAGCAGTCATTACAACAAAACATCCACAATGAATTATTGTCTAAACCTCAAGGTGCTTTACTTGAAAAGCGAGCATATAAAATTTTATGCACTCTTTGTTGTATTGATCTAATTTTGTTTTTTGAGATGATATTTTGGGCATTTACAGGCAGACAGTACATTCTAGCACTTGGAGAAATTTTCAGAGTTGTCAGAATCGTCAGATCTTTGTCCACCAAACTCTACAAGCCTTGGATATTGTTCTGTTCTGACAATCACACTAACTTCCTCTCCCTTGTGCGGGAGTGTTCTACTGTGTGGTCAAGCTCAGGACTTGAAGAAGCCCTTCAAAGCCTTACTGTTTCAACTGATTTGAAATGTGATGTTGAAGCTTTATTTGGTTCCATTCGGAGTATTCATGATCCTGATGCACATGAACTCTATAAACAAGTTTTCTCCGGACAAGAACCGACATGCTGCCTATCAGGTTTAACTGCTTCAGCAGTGCCAGGTATGAATTTATTGGTTTTAAGCCAAGTATAATTTTTTTATCTAGGATAAAGAAGTAAAGGGGGAGAGATTTCATGTTTTCATGTGCTAGGTGTAGATAGGTCGTCAAAGAGGCTTGATCCTCTTGAAGAGTGTGGACTTATGTATAATACACTCCGGCTCTGATATATCAACACGAGAATCATGCTTAGTTAACAGATTAGTTTTTGAAGTGTGATGACTGATTCTAGAAGTTACTGTTTTACTTAACCTTGGAACATAACCAAGTAAAACAATTTGCTAGTCTTCAATTGATTGTGGACCATCTTTTCTAGGTTCACTCACACCAGTCTCTAAAATCATCTTGTTCTCTTGTATCAGGCATGAAAATGGTGCTTTGGGATGGACAGCATTATTTTGTAACCATTGTCAACTTGTGGGCAAATTTAATGAGTCGTGATCCACCGAATATGCCACATATACATGCTAAAAAATGTTGATGGCATGAGAAGAAAAAGGTACATTTTCCGAATGTTTCACGGCACGGCATAGATCGCTCTGAATCAATTTTCTGTCCAGGCTGAGGCTTATGGATTCTAAGCAGGGTTACTCCCGTAGAAGGGTTTTCCCCTAGAAAGAAAGGAGTAGAATTCGAGTTTTCCAGAATCTGATCTATTACTAGGTGCTTAATTCGATCAGGTCGAATATCTATTCAATGTTATATTTAGATTGGTCGGTATTCTTTTTTGAGAGAGCTGTTATATAGCAATTTGATGTAGAAATCATGTTCCAGTTTTTGTGATTTGGTTGTATTCTATTATTCATTTGGAGACTGGGTGAAATCAAATAAGCACCCAGAGAAAATAGTTAGTGAGGCAAAATAGTTCATCAGTGTCCTTTTCTCATGTAACAATATACAACTATTTGACAATAAATGTTCATACACCCTTTATAAAAATTATGCTAGAACTTGAGATTTCAAGGGATAATAATCATCCGTTTAATTATTGAGGTTGCTTGTTGTTGCTCCTCCAAAATTAGATATTATTTGTTATATGATTTTTATTTAGGGTCTGCAGCTATCATTATCAATAATGACTTTTCTTAGATTCGAAGATAAAGTTATATTCTTAAAAATATAATGTCCTATTTTTACCTCTAATATTTATTGTATATATACACGTAGATAAGACTAAAAATAAAAATTTTGGATAGCCTTTCCCAATTGATTAATGTCCCCATTAATGTATCACCTTTGTTGCAGGGTAGTCTTTTTAATATTTGTAGATTTTACTTTACAAAGTCCTAAAATGAAGACAAGTTTTGAAAAGTTGTTTCCTTGCATGCGTGTAACATGGGGGTGGTGAGGGACCTAAGTGTCGGGTAATTCAAACCTATGGGTCTAATCTAGTTAGAAAATGAATGGGAACAAAATAACGAGCCAAAAAACTTCGAAATTTCAAAGAGCTAAACACGTCAATCAAATTTAATATTAATGGTAATTAAAAGTTATCTTACATCTTGAGGTGTATTTTAGAAATAGGGTTATTGTCTTGGGGGTTTTTTGTTTGAAGATGTAAGATTTTTAGGTGAAATGGTTTGTAATGGTGTATATTCTTATATGAGGGATCGGTGTTACCTCATGTACTTGATTTACTATTCAATAATTTTTGAGGCACTCTTTTCTTCTTTCTTATGTTCTTCAACATACTTCTTTTATACTACCTTGTTTTCATCATATTTTCATCACTGGTTTGCTACCTTGTTTTTCTTTTATACTACTCCGGCTTAAGCTTTTCAAAGTTGTTTTATATATCTTTGTCTTATAGTATGTACAGTGTCACTGCTTATAAAATCTATGAACTTTTTTTATTTCTCTTTAAAACATGACATCCTCCCTACACAATCTTATGACGTCCTCATCACGAGTGTCCACCTTGTCTATTTCACCTACTAGGATATTTGATATTAAATTGAGCAGTAAAAAAATCACTTTGATATCACTTATCATGGAGTTAATAATCTCCTTCCAAAAGAAATATATCTAATAGAATGTACAACGTCATTGTGTAATATCTCTTTTACAAGTCTCCTACAAACCAAAATTCATTCAAAAAGAGAACTTTGAATGTATATATATATATACAGCTTTGTCTCGAAGGTGTATATGATTTATCAGTTGCTTGCATTGCTACTTGTTGTGTAATGGATCAGGACAAGAGGGCACTTCTCTTTCAACTGTTTCAAAAAACCCATCTGTCCCATTATCCATATTCTGATACTTCCATCTTCTCTCAGTAGTCTCCTCTTCATCATCTTCAACCTTCTCTCTTAGAAACTTTGCTCCCAAGACTCCATTGTTGAGAGCCGAAATACTCAGAAACATGAATAGAAGATAACCTATTAAAACACCCTTTGAGACCATGGTGTCTTCCGCAACAAGCTGCTAAAAGTTGGAGATAAAAGACTACAGAGAAATCACAAGGGAGAGATGATAGAAATATTTATATAGGGATGCAAAAAAGGTTAAAAAGTGAAAAATTATATGGTCAAATTCTTTTGCATTGAAAAATGAGTGTGATGTTTAATAGACATTTGCTTCGGCAGTTTCCATTGGAGGAGGCCACCGCAGCAGCAGCTTGCAGTTTTCTTAATAATTTTGATTACCAAGTTGTCCCCTATGTGTTAGCTTAGCAGTGTGTATATGAAGTTTGTCATGGAAGTTAACCAAGTTACTTGTACAACTTGCTAATAGTTAAGGCTTTTGAAAGTCATTGAAATCATCTTTGTTATTCATTTCAAGTTACTAATACAATTTGCTAGTAGTTAAGTTATTAAATGAATTTTCGTTTACTTTGAGTAAGTTTTGTAAAAAATCAATTTTAGGAGAATAAAGATGAGTGAAATATAGACGTTTAGGTATTGATCTTGTCGCGAAAAATAATTGGTGACAAATGGTGATTGGTTGCCGTGCGGTCGGAAAAGTTTAGTGTCAAAAATAAAATTATTTAAAAGTTCAATGATACACCCCTAAAGTTAAGTGCCTAAAAGATATCGTTTTAAGCATCGATAGTCGAACCAAAATGATGTTATTTTATCCACGTCATCACATCATTTGAATTTTAACGGTCTAGTGACATAATTGAAGTAAAAATCAAAATTCAATGCTATAATTAATAAAATTAAAAATTTAATAGTATAAACAATACAACTTTTAAATTCAATGATATCTAATATAGTTTACTCTAATTTTAAATCCAATCAGCATCATTCAAATTTCTGCCTATAAAAAATAAATAAATTTTTAAAATACACCTACCTCAAAATTATCCCTTAAAAGACCTCAAATTCAGGATACTCTCACTTACCGTTTCTTCCTCTTCTAAAGATTAGGTTTGCTAATGTCCATTTTGATGCAGTTTTCAAGCACTCACTTCCCATTTCTTTTATTAAAAAAAAACTGGATTATTTTTATGGAAGGATAAAGTAATTTTCAGTCATTGAATTTGATAATTTTCTTAAATTGATCCCTTAATCTTTTTGTCACATTAATCCTTAAATCTAACAAAATTTTCATTTTTTTAATTATTTTGATTATATGACATTCTAAGATTGTACCACCTGACATGACGCAATCTCAAAGTGCCACGTCATCAAAATGAGAGATAATTGCATCGGATGTATCCAAATTATAACTCTAATTTTAAATGAGTCTTTGAGAATCTTGTGCAATTAACTCCCAAAAAATTAAAAAATCAAGTTCATATAAATGTGAGGAAAAGGTTTAGGGATCAAGTTAAGAAAAAAATATAAAGTTTAAGGAGTAAAAGTTGTTTTATCCATATTTATGAATCGGACGTCCAAGCATCCCTAATATGCTAATTATGACATTATTAGAACTTTAAGGCCCCATAGTAAGAGAGAAGAAGTACATTTTCGATTGCTTCCATTTTTTATAGTTCTTTGATGCTGCCGTATAATAGAATTATCTCATAAGAAAACATGACGTTTTCAAGGACACTTCCAAGGCATGAAATGATGTGAAGTTGACCATTGCTCATGGTCTAATTATGGTTTTAGTCCCTCTAGTACGCTGGAATCTTAGATTTAATCTCTTAAGTTGGGACAACTTGGTTTCCCTACTAACATAATGATATCAATATGTCCAGATTAATAATACCATTAAATTGGACCTTCACGTGACTCTTAATAATAATAAAATAATTATAAAAAAAATCCATGTTATCAATGATAACATCGGTAACAGCATCTTATGGTGTTATGTAATCAATTTGAACCTATAAAAGTAGGCCACTTTAATCCAAATTAGAGGTAAATCACAAGTTTTAGCAGGGGGTACTAAAATCATTGTCAGACCTTACTTACATAATTGTTCGAGAAGCAGTTCTATAACATTAAGACTCATATTTACAGAACATATACTTATTTTCATGTCATAGCTTAACCTCTACGACCGGCAGCCGAAAGTTTAACCGATATCCACCGACGGGTATTTCCAATTGAAAAAAACCAGAGAACCAGAGGGCTCTGTCATGTTCCGTTTTCGGAATTTTTCCAAAAACTTAGCTGATACACATCAAAACTAGATGGCAAGAGAGCTCTGTCTGTAAATCGAGTTTGGAGAGAAAATGGTGAAGAAATGCAATTATATTGGAACAGTCACTTGTATTTCCAGAGCATTAAAAATGAATGAATACATGATGTTTTACTTGATCAAGAATAATATTTCTGCAGATTAACCAAAGGACCAAAATTCGCTTTCTTTGTGATCTACAACTAACCCGATTTCGCCTTTTATGAAAAGACAGGTTACTCATACAGAAACAGTGAACAGATAGAGCTTGAGCACAACAGCAAGAGCCAACTGCAAGAGAAAGATACCAGCAACAATCAAGAATCAGCTTTCTCCGGCTGAAGTAATATGAGCTTTGAGATTAAGTGCCACAAAAGTTGCCGACATACCCCTGCAATTATCCATCTGAAAATTTCCAAGGGCACTACAGATAGACACTGCAAACAAGTAGAAACAACAATTTCAGCTACAATATGAAGTCATAGAACATTGCTGAAAGATTGTTATTTCACATATCAAATCTTTACATGGCTCAGACAATACACTCTCCAGAAATCCCAGTGTCAGATTTACAGTGAAAATCTTCCACGGGAAGTTTCAAGCATAAATGATTTATTTTCTTCAGACAGTTTACTCGGTTCTTTAAGCAATTGGAATCTCTTTAAAATTAGAGGGGGGATGAAGGTGGCGATGGGGAATCAACTTCAACAAAAGTTTTTCCAGCTCCGAAAGATAAATGAGAAACTGGCAGACAAACAAGCTTATCATTTAGAGAACTTACCATTGCTAGAATAAAGATAAATAAGGAGTATCCATATAGGCAAAACAATTGGACAAGGTCTGATGGTGCTGAGATGTACTTGAGAATAACATACAAGAAAAGAGGAACCACAGTGACATATCCATAGAACACACCAGCAGACCATGTAATCAGATTTACATCATAATTCCATTCTTTGTCCTGGAGCTTGTGTGCTATATAGGTCACAAAAGTACCAAAAGCCACTGCTACAAATATAAGAGTGCTGCAGATCCAAAATGGTCCATATCTGCACAAAATTGAACAGTTCTAATCATGCATGAGGAGCAACAGAATTGTTCTGAAGGGGAAAAGTGAAATATTTCCGGGAAATGGAAGTAATTATATGGAAGCTAATAAGAGGAAAATCAGATTTTCAGAAAAGCATACTTGTATGGCATGTAAGATAATTATTCATAACCAAAAAATTAACGCTTGCCAATGATCAAATTTTTTTCCTCTCTGTTTAGTGTTTTAGGTATCCATTCCTAAAACGTTTCTAGTCATGTTAAATAGCAAAGAAACTTTCCAGTGTAGAGCTTAAATAAGTTTCCGTACACCTAGATTAAAAAATTATTCAAGCTCACCATCTTTAAATACAAATGAGACACGGGCAGAAAACTCACAAATCAGGATTGGTAGCTGTCTTCTCTGTAAATGTTCCTCTAAATGGATAGAGTGACTCCTTAAGTCTGTCCAAAACATCTGAAGTATCAACATCAAAATACGGCTTGTATGCAGCAACCGTGAATTTATGTAACCACCCACCTCCTTGTGATTCGTCAGAGCCCCTAAGAGAGCCATCGGCAGGTCTTGAAAATGAATCTGCTCGGCAAAGTACCATCATTTGTTACCGGCATAACAAAAAAAATTGTTCTTGTGACGAGCTAATTAGATTTGTCATTCAAATTACACATATCGGAAATTATATTTAGTCTAATTAAAATTTCTTTCATTCAACTGTTTGATATACAATACACAGCAGCTATTTCAAATGTATCATCAATTTCATGGATCATCTTTCGAACTAAGAACTTTATCAAACCAAATCTTTAAATTACTAATTCATCGACACGAGGATAAAGCTAACGCAATTGCCATACACAGTGTGACCAAGATCATGAATCCTTTCTATAATGCACCGGGATAAACAAATCAATGCATAAGCACTGCATCAAATCAGACTAACCAAAACAAAATAAAAAATTAAAGGAAGTCAAATAAAAAAAAAATGAGAAATACCATCCGCATCACGTGGAGGTTGAGCTCCACCAGATATCTTCCCCTGCACACCCGATGGAGGAAACGTTTGAAGGCCGGAATCTACAATAATCATTAACTAATTAATTAAAAATAAATAAACCATTCACACAAATTAGCTACCCTAAAGCTAAAATAACACTCTTCAACACTTCATTATCCAGAAAAACAAATTTTCAACTCATTCATTAAATTCAGATAATCCTTTCGTTTCCTACATTTCTAGCGTAACCAAACAACCAATTACTACAAAAATTACAATAATTTCAATTCAGATCCATAATTTAATAATTGAAATAAACGAGCACCAGTAAATTGGACGGGGACACGGCCGGAATCTGAAACGGTCTGAGAAATTAAGGATTGCAAAAATAATTAGAGAACGATATATGATTAATTTTATCGAAAAATAAACAAAATTAAAGTCCTAAATTGAAAATCAATTTAAAAAGCAACAATTCGTTAAACAAAGCTTAAGGGTACGGATCCAGAAACTTTCTGGTTATCAATGCCGGTATAGCGTCCGGACATCATCTTTTCTTCTCTTTCCTTTCCCTTTTAACGTTTATCTTCTCTTTTCTTTTATTATCCTTTCATTTTCTTTTATTTTTATTTAATGTTTTGGTTAAAATGTGATCAAAATCCCTGTACATTTTTCATATTTGAAATTTAGTCCCTTATATTTTTAAGACTTTAATCTCATTACTTTCAAGGTTTTTGTATTTTGGTCATTCAAATAAGAAAAAGGTAACTAAACCTATGACTACTTAACTATGGATAGATTTCATTTTGAGAACCAATCTTTCAATTATGTCAATCAGATCACTTAATCATTTAAGTGTTGTCAGTAAGGTCGATGAAAAGATCCAAAATTAAAAGAAATTCAAGAACAAATACGACAAGGGGATGGAAACTACAAGGATTATGCAGAACAATGACTTGTGCTAGTTAATTGGCGCATTTTGGTTTCTAATGAGCAAACTCTTCTAACCCTATTCAAAGGTTGGAGGCCACGCAGGCATACTCCGTACTTTCCAACAGGTTTTGGTGAACTTCTATTGGAAAACAATGAGCCATGACGTAAGGAGATTTGTGATTGAATGTCAAGTTTAACAACGAATGAAGAGTGAAAGCCTGGTGCCAGCAGGGTTAGTGCAATCTTTGCCTATTTCGGATCAAGTATTTGAGGATATCATTGAATTTTATCGTCAGACTGCCTAAATCCAACTAGAAAGAAGCTATATTGGTTGTGGTGGACAGACTTACACAATACATGCATTTCTTTGCTCTGCCTCGATAGTTTGACAGCCAATTTCTGGCAAAGATCCTGGTATAGGGGGTTATCAAACTTCATGGAATACCAAGATCTGTAGTAAGATTTCTGGCAAAGATCCTGGTATAGGGGGTTATCAAACTTCATGGAATACCAAGATCTGTAGTAAGTGACCGTGATAGGATTTTTGTGAGCGAAAAGGGAATCAAGCTGGCGAGATTGCAACGATCAAAATTATGTATAAGTTCGGCATATCACCCGCAAACAAATAAACAAACTAAAGCGTTGAATCGATGCTTGAAAATGTATCCTCGTTGCTTGACTGGTAGTGAACAGAATAAGTAGGAGAGTTATCTTGCTTAGACAGAGCGTTGGAACAATACAACTTATCAAACTTCGACTGGAATGACCCCTTTCAGAGCATTATATGAGAGAGTCGCCTACACTTTTTCGTTAACAATTAATCATTTCTTAATTATTACAATCAAGAAAGTAAAGAAGAAGAATGATTCTTGTTTTCATTCATCGAAGAAAAGAATACAAAACTGCTTATATACAACTACAATATTCTAACTAACAAAGCTTAACAGAAAGCTAACCAACCATAACTGATCAACTAATTATAATTAATATAACCTATACCCTCAAGATGGGACTGCATGAATATTAAGAAGACCCAGCTTGTCAATAAAAAAATACAAAACTGCTTATATACAACTACAATATTCTAACTAACAAAGCTTAACAGAAAGCTAACCAACCATAACTGATCAACTAATTATAATTAATATAACCTAATACCCCTCAAGATGGGACTGCATGAATATTAAGAAGACCCAGCTTGTCAATAAAAAAACGATGCACGGGAGGCCGAAGAGTATTTGTGAAAATATCAACCAACTGGTCCGAAGATCGAACGTGAAAAAGCTTCAAGAAAAACCATCCTTCACTTTATCCCTCACAAAACGACAATCAATTTCAATGTGTTTGGTTTTTTCATGGATACTTGATTTGTTGCCAAATATATTGCAGCTTGATTATCGTAGAACAATCTTGCATGATCAATACATGAAAAGAAAACAAAAAAACAAGCCAAACAAGTTCACAACATGAAAAGATCGACTCACAATTGCCTGCTTCTTCGATTTCCAAGAGACAAGGATATCTCCAAAAAAGGCACAAAAACCGGATGTAGAACATCGAGTATCAAGACACAAACCATAATCAGAGTCAACAAAAACATTCAGCAGATCATTGGAATGAACCGAAAAAAGCAAATCAAGTCCAGGAAATTGTTTTATGTAAGCTAAAAGGTGCTTCAAAGCTGTCATGTGATGTGAGGCAGTTGAGGAGAAGAAACGAATTGACTTAACAAATGCACATTGTGAATAATGTCAGGTCTGGTATTAGTCAAGTATAATAATCGACCTATAAATCGACGATATTGTTGAGGGTCAGACAACAATTCCCCTTCATCGGCACTCAACCTCAAAGATTGTATCATAAGGGATTTAACCGGTTTCAAACCTAAGCAGCCTGAATCTTCCAGTAATTGCAAAGCATGCTTCCTTTTTCATAAGGAAATGTCAGACTTGCTTCAAGCTATCTCAAAGTCCAGAAAGTAACGCAAAGAACGCAACTCATTTAGCTTGAAATGTTTCTATAGAAGAGCTTGAAACTCATGACGTAATTGTAGATCTGCCCCAACAATTTCAATGTCGTCCACATAGACGAGAAGAGCAACAAAACCAACTCCAGAACCTCTTGTAAACAATGAATGTTCAAAAGGTGATTGCTGAAAATCAAGTTGGAGAACAACACTTGAAAAAGTAGTAAACCATTGCCTGGATGCTTACTTAAGCCCACATATGGACTTTCAAAGCTTACAAACCATGTTGGTGCCCTTAAGCTTTGGCTTGTATCCAAGAGGTAATTCCAAGTGAACTTCCTCATCTAAGATTCCATTCAAGAAGGCGTTGTTAACATCCAGTTGAAGCAAATGCCATGCCACCCTCGTACTGCTGCAAGAGTAAGCAAAACCCTGAAGGTCATCTTAGCAACAAGTGAAAAGGTGTCCATATAATCAATCCCTTCAACCTGTGTAAAACCCTTGGCAACTAACCAGGCTTTATAATGATCAACTGAGCCATCAACTTTATATTTTACCCGATAAACCCATTTGCAATCAACAACATTCTACCCATCAAGAAAAGAAATAATGGACCAAGTGTCAAGAGACTCCATGGCTTGAAGTTCATCATCCATAGCATCTCTTCAAACTAAAGACTTAACTGCTTGATGGTAAAAAGACTGCTCAAATTGAGAAGAAATATTAGTAACAAACCCCCCAAACTCGGTGGAAAGTCTTGAAGAAGACAAAAAAATTTCAATGGGATATAAACATCGAGAAGAAACATTATTGCAGTAGTATTTCTGAAGGTATGATGACTTTTGAACAAGGCGAGAAGAACGTCAAACAAACAGTGGAACAACAATGTCAACCGTATAAGGAATTAATAGTTCATCCGATAATGGAGTATCAACATGCACCTCACAAGGCACAACATCGGTCGAGTCAATAAGTTCCTCCAAAACAGGCTCAAAAGAAGTTGGCCAAATGGTTACTAAATCATTCTGTGCAGGCTGAATCTTTATAACACATGAAGAATCAACTGAGTCATGTATAGTATGAGGCAAACAAAAATCCTGGAAAACATCAATAGAATGATCAGATAATTGAATGTTTTGAAAAGAAAAAAGTCTCTCATGAAAGACCACATTGCGAGAAACAACAATTTTCTGACTTTGCAACATATAGACATGATACCCCTCGACCCCGGGAGGAATTATCTTGTTGCGACTTCAATGTGGAAACAAAGCAAAGACGCCCAAAAGCTCTTTATCGATCATATCAGGTAGATGACCATACAAAACTTCATAGGGAGACTTATTGTTCAAAACAGGCGAATGAAGTCTATTAATCAGGTAAGTGACAGTGAGTAAACAATCGTCCCAAAACTTAATTTGTACCTTTGAATGAAAATACAAGGCTCGAGCAACATACAACAAATGTTGGTGTTTTCTTTTAACCACCGAATTATGTTGAGGCATTTCCACACACGAAAATTGATGTACTATTCCCAAGTTAGCAAACAACTTAGTAAACTTCAATTCAAGAGCATTATCAAACATGAAACTCTTTATATCAAATCCAAATTGTCATTTTACCATAGAAATGAAGCATATATAATCTAACTAACATCATATTTGTGTTATAACAAAGAAACCCAAATATATCTAAAAAAATCATCAACCAAGGTGAGAAATGAAGTTTGATTAGAGTAAGGTTTATGCTTATAAGGTCTCCATATATCACAGTGAATTAATTCAAATGGTCGTGTAGTATGAGAACTATAAATTTGAAAAGATAATCTCTGTTGCTAAACCAATGGACAAATTTGACAAGGCTCTCTCACATTTACATTTTATAGACAAAACATTCTTAAGAAGATGCATAAAATGGGAACTAGGATAACCTAATTTGTTATGCCAAGCAATGAACAAATCACTAGAAACATTGTTACAAGAAATGCTACGATTAAAAGAAGACACATGCAGCAAATATAGTCCTTGAAACAACTCACCTTTCTCAATCACTCGATGAAGGTCCTGAATTACACAATTTGTTTTGCAAAATAACACATTGAGATCAGAATCATTCAACAAAGCACTGACGGAAAACAGACTGAAGTGAAAATCTGGAACGAACAACACATTATGTAAAGCAAATCAGGAGAAAAACAAACTGTGTCCGCAAAGCCTGACTGGTATAACGGAGTTATCAGAAAAAGTGATTGAACAACTTGGAATGAGAAACAAAGATTCAAAAAGAGATTTCGAATAACATATATGTCTTGAAGCCCCAGAATCCAAAATTCAGTAATCAGATTTCTTAACAGATAAGCCATTTATGTGTTTCAAAAGCTGTAAAATCAAAATAGAGTAAAAACTCTAATTGATCGAGAAGAAGAAAAACTCTCTTTAGAATAATCTCACAAAATTGCAAAAGGAAATAACTCTTAAGAAAGCTTTCAAATGCTTATAATTAAGCTTTGATTGTTGAATGATAAAAATCAAATACAAGTAGGGTATTTATAGGTTACAAGAAACAATCTAAACCACTCATTAAAATAATCACTAAATAATCTAAACCATTGAAATTAAAACATGAGAAAAATACTTAATTTTCACCTAACTAAATTGATGTAAGCAATGACATTAAAACTAAATTGATGTAAGCAATGACATCAAATTAATTTAGGTGTGAACTTATTTA